AATTCGCTTTGCAGGCATTGATAACGAGCAAAACGCTCGCGAGTGATCTACTGCTCTGGACACCTAGTCATGGAGCAAGACGACGGAACTACCGCCTACACTGGCCAGCTATGTTATGACACAAAATTCCACTCTAATGACCTTCCGACTTTGATGCGGGACCGTGATAGCTGGCGTGACATGCATGGATGTTCGAACTAGCTCGATCGTATTAGACAGTGTGAGGAAACTTCAGCAAAGTTGAGCTGCAAAAAAAAAAAAAAAACTAAATAGAATAAAATAAAACAGGAATACACCCAACGATATCAATTGGCATACGTTTAAATAATTTTCTCTGTTTGTTGTCACTCTTAAAACCTGTTATCTCATCCATTTACTTATGTTCTTTAGGTAGGCTATGCATTATTTTCCTCTATCCTGTGAGTATCGAATTTTCTAAACCTCTTTTCCTTATCAATTGTTCTACAAATTTCAACAGTTACTTTGTTATCTAGGAGAGGACTTTTTTTTAAAATTTCTGTTTAATCTAATTAATAGTCGTTGCGAACATGTTCGGTCCAGGGTATCCTCGGTATAATTCTTTTTGGAACTGTTCATAAATTAAGAATGACACTATCCATAAAATTATCCGTTTCACGACCTCATTAAGAATGGTTGACGCCTAACAAAACGCATCAATCACTAAATTACTGGAGGAGAACGCGTTTAGGATGAACACATTTTTGGCATATTGAATTAAATAGTAGTGAATAGATAAATAAAATGTTCAGTGACTTATCTTTCGACTGGAAGTTTCGAAGACACAGATCTGCTCGTCAGAGAGATAAATCTGACGTGCGGATCACCCAACGCTATCAATTGGTATACGTTTAAATAATTCAAAACTAACTACTACAACACAGCTACTGCAAATTATATTTACACGAGGCTTTAAGACATTTTCGGGGGAGAGGCAGAAATTATTGTGATTTTAGTGTCATGACAATACATCTGATAAGCTGTCCTGCTAACTTTTGTTCTTCCAGATTCAAGGAGACGACTATAGCAGTTCTTTACACACACCCTACTAAACATTGCTTGTAATTATATATACATGCAATTAAAAGCTTATCTAATTAAATTATGTCTTAGTTTTATACCGTTTTTTTTTACAATTCAGAGCAGATTTTTTTGTAACTGGAGGTCCTTATAGACGCTCCAAAAATTTCTCAACTTAAATTCTCCGACGACTTGTTCTTATGACTAATATAAACTTTAGCCCCTACAAAAAAAGAATGTCTCGAAATTTCATAGAATCAAATAAGCGGGGGTAAAAAAAATATTTCTAAAAAAATAAACACTTTGAAAATAATTACATTCGTTTATGAATAATTCCTGAAAGTTTCATAAAAATTTGACAATTATTACCCATATATATATTAGGTTGGTACAAAAATAATGACGTAATAATGTCGTTTTTTGACGTTAAAAAATGACATTATTTTTGCACCAACCTTATATATATATATATATATATATATATATTTTACACATTGTAAAAGTCTTAATCCGAAACCAAATAATAGTGATTTTTCCAAGCCTAGCTCAGATGTGGCACAAGGCCGAAAGTATGGGGCACCCAGTGAGGATCGAACTCACTACGCAGTCGGAATTGTTCTAGCGAGACAAGCTTGTTAACAATTACACCACCTCGAGGTGCCGCCAAACCAAATAATAGTAAGCTGAAACTTGAAGGAGGGAATTTACTATATCAGTTGTAATAATTGCCACAAGGAATGCATTGGAGACACCTCAAGAGATTTAAATAAAAGATTTTATGAGCACAAAAGATACCTTTACAAAACAACACACAGAGTATCTTTACCTGACACCGTAATGTGTCTGACCATAACTTCGATTTAAAAATTGTATTTTAATTAAAAGAGGATGCAATTTACTAGGTTGAAAATGTATAGAAAATGCTTCAGTCGTTAGATCATCCACAGTAAATGTGCGTTCAGCTTCATACAATCTTTCTTGGCAGATCTTCTATTATCACAATGTGAGATGCTTAATTATAAAATTGATTATATATATATATATATATATATATATATATATATATATATATATAGTAATAGGTTATAGTTGTTCCAACGCGATAAAAAGTGTATATTTTAAAGAGAAGAAATGTTTTTGGCTATAATGTGGATTTTAAAAATATATATTATACTTTATTTTCCATATTTTTACTACACGTGTTTCCGGTCTTGTGACCTTCATCAGGCAAAGAGTAGTTATTTCCACATATTATTAAAAGGA